CGCAGCTTGGCGGAGATGGTGCGGAACTCCGACGCATATGTGCACACAGAGCGCTCCTTCTGGCGGTGTTTTAGGAGTCGTGCCTCTGCCCCCATTTCGCTGCTGGGTGGAACAAACGTCTTTCTGAGGGCAGCCACGAATGCAGCGTAGTCATTGCAGGCCGGTGATTTGGAATTATAGAGCGCAGCGGCCCACTCTGCAGCGCGTCCGGTGAGCAGGGAGGTGAGCTGTGCCACTCGAGAGCGCGCAGTGGGGAAGCGTCCTGGGTGGCACTCGAACTGCATCTCGAGGGTAGCGAGCAGACCGTCTGGACTCCCCGTCTCTCCATTCCACTTCTCCGGGAGACTGAAGTGTGGCTCTCCCGTCGGGGGAGTGAGGGCTTGCAGGTGGAGAGCATGAACCTGCTGCTGGAGTGCCGTGACGGCAGTAGACAACTGCATGGAGAGATCGGTCTGGGAGTTCAGTCTGGTGTTAAGCCGGTCGACCTGGGCGTGGAGCTGAACGTTCTTGTTCACCAGTTGCTCCATCTCTCTCTTCACCTGCTCGAACTCCGCTGGATTAATGGACTCAGTCATCCTGTCAGACTCGAAGACTGGGTTCGGGAGTAAGAGCTTTTATTACACATACGGTTGGCTGAAAGCGGTGCTGGAAAGGCTGACGGATGAGGTCTGAGGAGGAAAGGTGGAGGTTTAGCTGTAGTAGCTTTGGAATACTCTGATCATGGATCACGGTGGAACGATGACTGAGTGAAGAGCCGGTGTGGCGTCTTCCATATATAGACATGGATTGACGCAGGTGCAACATGGAGGGAATCCCCGCGAGGGGCATGCTGGGTAATGTGGTACAAGACTGAAGCCGGTCAGCTGGGAGAGCCCGGCCTGGGGGCTTGGACTCTGACAGAGATGCTGCTGCCCCATTTACCTCCCCCTCACACCTATTTGTCTCTAGAAGTCAGGTGAAGAGGCAGCTGGAGAGACTCAACAGGAACAAGGCTGCAGGTCCAGATGGTGTCAGCCCCAGAGTACTGAAGGCCTGTGCAGAGCAGCTCTGTGGGATTCTGCAGCACCTCTTCAACCTCAGCCTGGCCCAGGAGAAGGTTCCAGTCCTGTGGAAGACATCCTGCCTTGTTCCAGTTCCAAAGAAAACTCACCCATCAGTTAATGACGACTACCGACCAGTTGCTCTGACATCCCACATCATGAAGGTCCTGGAGAGACTCCTGTTGGTCCACCTGAATAAGCAAACTAGGACATATCAGGACACGCTGCAGTTTGCTTATCGCCATGGGGTTGGAGTTGAAGATGCCATCATCCAGCTGCTTCAACCAACCCACTGTCATCTGGACAAAGCAGGCAGCACTGTCAGGGTCATGTTCTTTGATTTCTCCAGTGCATTTACAGGGTATATACAGCAATCCTTAAGTAAAATTTAATACTTTTTAATACTTTTTTTTACTACCTTCAGAATTTTTTTAAAACCATCACAACACTAAATTGCAAGTGTTAATCAGCGACCTATTTACACATATTTTAACATATATAACATACAAAAAGAATAGACTTAGAGACTCACTGATGTTGACAACGTATTGTACATATTTATTTTACTTAGAAAATAAGCCAGGCACTTCTGTTCAGCGGTTCAGACAGTTGACCACGAGGCCTGAAATGATGCACAACGACCACTGAATATGACGTCGTCATTATGTGACCGGATATGCTAAAGTAGGGCTGCTCGATTATGGCAAAAACAATAATCACGATTATTGTGACTGAAATTGAGATCTCGATTATTTAAGACGATTTTTCAATTTATGTAGATTTTTATTTTTTTATTTTTATTCAGTCATAAAACTGCTCAGGGCACAATCAGGGCAAAAATAAACAAGAAACAAGATGATCACTAAAATAACTCCTGATTCCCAGTATAAAAAGACCAATATACTTATAGCTCATAGTCTATGACCCAAGGGCTGTAGACATTGGTTTAAGTCATTTAAGTCTAACCAGTACAGACCCAAATACCAATATCTTGCAAATACTGACAGCAAGAATTATACAGTGGCATTTATAAATACATGCAAATTGCTGTTCACTAAATGTTGCATAGCATTTATTGAGTCGTGTCAAGGTGCTGTAGGAGTGCACTAGCACCGTGTCCTCAGAGAGATTAGTTATTATTTATCAGCGTGAGGAACTTATTTCTACCTTATTTATAAACTATTTATTTACTGGTCCATCAGTTAATGTAATAAATGTCCCAACCACAGCTGCACCCCCCACCCCCCAACCCGGTCTCACAGCAATCAGGGGCAAGCTGCACGTGTGTTTAACGCGCCGCACGCGCACATTTAGCCGTTTTTATCGGCTCAGGAGTCCGCAGGTGCGGGTGTGTGTCACTCACTCTGGTTAATCCAACAGGGAGCCGGCTCCGAGAGCTGTCTTTAGCGACCGACACATCACTACATCATTCCCTTTCCTAATGTCCTGAAGAACGGTCCGGAGTGCAGGCGGAGTGTTTAGCTAACCTGCAGGAAATGTCGACGACAGCTATCCAGAAAGTAGCTAAGGGTTACCAGAGATGTTTCTGAGGTGTTCGCTAGGTACTTTTAAGATTTAAAAAGTCAAGAAGGGGGTCTGAGAAGCTGCTAGAAATAGTGTCAAAGTCGCTAAGTTAACTTGGCAACACTGGGAGGAGCGCTTCATTTGCAACTCAAGGCAGCGCAAGTGGGAGGAGCAAATAATCGGCTTGCTTTGTTTTTATAATCGTTCAACACATTTCATTCGGAATATATTTCTATGACGATGTTCAGAATACGACATCTGATAGTCTGAAAAAATAATACCTAATTTGGAAAAAATAATACCTCTGAGACCAAATTTAACACTTTTAATGGCCTTAAATTTGACTATTTTTATTTATCACTTTTTAATACTTTTTAAAACCCCGCGGACACCCTGATTTAACACAATCCAGCCTGATGTACTTTGCCAGAAACTCCAGAAGACACAGGTGGGGGCCTCAACTATCGCCTGGATTAAAGACTACCTGACAAACAGACCACAGTTTGTGAGGCTGAAGAATTGCACATCAAACCAGGCGATCAGTAACATTGGAGCACCACAGGGGACTGTACTCTCACCATTCCTTTTCACCCTGTACACCTCAGACTTCCAGTACAAATCAGAGACCTGTCATCTACAGAAATACTCAGATGACTCTGCAGTTGTCGGGTGTATCAGAGATGGACAGGAAGCTGAGTACAGAGAGCTGGTGGAGCGCTTTGTGGCATGGTGTGGAAACAATCATCTGACCTCGAACATGAACAAAACAAAGGAGATAATTTTAGACTTCAGAAGAAACAGGGTAGAGTCAAACACTGTTTCCATCATGGGAGAAGAAGTGGAGGTGGTTGAGGAATACAAATACCTTGGAGTTCACCTGGACAACAGACTGGACTGGAGAAAGAACAGCGAAGCCGTTTACAAGATGGGACACAGCAGACTGCACTTCTTGAGGACGCTTAGGTCCTTCAATGTCTGTAGCAAGATGCTGCAGATCTTCTACAAGTCTGTTGTTGAGAGTGTAATCTCTTCAGCCATCGTCTGTTGGGGTAGCAGCATCAGAAGCAGGGACCTGAAAAGGCTCAACAGCCTAATAAAAAAGGCTGGTTCTGTTCTGGGGATGACTGTGGAACCACTGGAGGAGATAATGCAAAGAAGGATTCTCCAGAGAATCAAGAAAATGATGGACAACCCTGAGCATTCTCTTCACAAGACTGTCCGACAACGGAAGAGTGTCTTCAGTCAGAGGCTTCTTCAGTTTTGCTGCAACACTGACCGCTACTGGAGATCCTTCCTGCCAACAACCATTATAATATACAACAACTCTTTGATGACTTGATTATTATTATTATTATTCTGAGCTACTACAGCAATCAGTTTCCCTCTGGGATTAATAAAGTATTTTTGAACTGAATTGAATTCCAGGGTCATGGATGTCGTGTTTCCTTAGAGGATTCACTGGGGTATGAGCAAATTGCCCGTGAATCCACATCCTGCTCCACATGCAGGGTGGTGGTGGTGTTAGACGGGCAGACCGTCGGTCTGTGTCTCCAGGGACGACAGGTGCTACAGCAAGTGTGTAAGAGACACGCTGAATCCCAACAGAAAACACCCGAGGTACTGCTGCAGCTGCAGACGTTAGCGTACAAATAATCACAGGTGGCTCCGTGGATCCGCATTTGCATATTTCAAGCGATACGGTGATATGTGATTTGATACTGTGATGAGTTTAGTCTGGGTGTTTACGATAAGTGTGATCTTCTTATGAACACAGCTAAATAAAATTAAAAACTCCTCCAATCGACCGTTTTTTAGGTCATTTATACATCAGTGGCTACAGGAGACCGCTTCACTAAAGCCTCCGCAGCAGCTTTACAAACCCAAATTTAAAGGAGAGAATCTTTAAGTGAACAATCAGTCACACGGACACATAAAATAAATTAGAGCTGAAGCACTTCTTCACTCCCCACAACTGCAGCCTCACAAATTAACACCCATAATTACCGCTGATGGAATAAAAACTCTTCTACTGCTTCATGATTTCCTCTAAAAAAGAAAAGTGCTCAATTCTTTTATGTAATTCAGAGAAATCCCCAAACACCGGCTGCTGGCAGCCTGATAAACAATGTGTGATAAAATCACCACTTTCATTGAGTGGAGTGAATCAAACAAGGTAATCAGATTTAATTACGAGACCTTTAAGTCTGCCAAAAACACGAATCCCCATTGTTCTTCTGTTTCATCTAGAGCAGGACCTAATTGTTAAATATTTTATTACAAATCCTGTCGAAACTTCTTGTTAAACAGCGACCACTCGTTCAAAAAGCAGATCCGTTTCTGCACGATGAACCCTTAAACTAATGCTTTACATGCTGTATAATCATCGTTAATCACGTGAAATGAAATCTGCAGCGTTTAGCTCTCGTCTGTCCTCACCTCCTCCCCCTCTCCATCAGGCCTGACGGCATCCTCCAGCTGCAGGGGCAGGCGCGCCTCCGCCTGGCTGATGACAAAAATCTGAGGAGAGGAAAAAAACAAATCACAAAAGAGACAAAACTGCAAAATATGATGTTTAGTAAAACACCGGTGCACCATTTCTAGGAACTAGAAGTGAGCCACATCAGAGCCGAGTACGGACGGCAGGTTTTGGAGTCTTATTTCCTGATATTTGGACATCTTTCCTCTGTTTGGATAACGGCAACGTGACTCTACCACTGACTTGCAACATTAATGTTTAATCTCCACAAAAAACACAAGCCTGGAGGAGTTCTGCTGTGTGGTGAAGTTGCTAATGCTAACAGTTAGCTTCCGCTAGCTGAGACGTTTCCCGAATGCTAAACCAACAACAACATTCCCCGTCGTGAGTCAAGATGGGCGAGTCCACGAATGTTAAGTGACAGTGTGACGTAGATCTGTCAGGCTTTTCTAATCCTAGACGTTCACCGTCTATTTTCTGTCAGAAGCTAAAGCAGGAGATATCTGTAGGAGACTATTTTCATGTTCAGCCTGCATGAAAAAGGAGTGACTGATTATAAACAGAGCTCTACACCTTTAAGTTTCAGTATGAACCAATTGTTTAGTGGAACTACAAAAGCTCCCGTCACAAGCTGGGATGTAAAATATAAGAATGATGTTTATATTAGTTGTATTACACCTGTGTCGTCTCTGAGACGTGCACCTGCTGGAATAACACCGATCATAAACGCCCTGGAGTCTGGTTGTATTTGCTCTGTCAGGCAAAAGAAACACGAGTGTTCTTATGTAGACGTGATGGGAACCTGCTGTGCATTAAAAGCGGGGGGGGGGGGGGGGGGGGGGGGGTCTTTTGTGTGACACTAGCTGAAAGCACACCAACCCTTTCGATGTGGAGCTCCACGTCCTGCTGAGAGCAGCTCTCGATCTTCTGCTCCACTTTCCTCACCACCGCCTCCACGTCCACGATGCTCTCCTTGGTGATGCTGGAGGAGTGTCGGCAACAAACAAACACTTAGAACACAACTGCATCCCAACAACGTTCCTGCTAAACTCTGACCCACGTCTGCGGACAAGCTTTTTACACTTTCGTGGCGTAATATGGACGGTACAGACTGGAGTATGGATGCGGTAGAGGGACTTTTTTCTTTTTCCATCTTTCTAAAAATACAACTGCTGAAATGACATTTGCTGCCGGGAGAAAAGTGTATTTGAGAAACCACAAGAGGCTTTTACAACAAAAGCTCTATCACCCCTTTCCCTGCACTAATCAACAGTCAGTACCGGTACAGAATGGTTTACCATTTGCCCACATGCTCCTGAAAAAAAAAATTGAACTGTTATAGAAAAAGGGGGAAAATCTTCTACGAGTACGGTCACTTCCAAACAAATCTTTCCATTTTTTTGTCAGTGGTTTTGTTTATTTTAGGCCTAAAAAAATCTTTAATTCTTTAACTATATGAGGCTGGGCTCATTCACATCCATGGCTGAAGATCTGCCATGGGGCATCCCACAGGGCTTGATCTTGGGCCCACTGTTGTTCTTTTTGCATATTCTGCATACGGTCACGGCCGCTTTTAGGATTTGTTTTAAATTTCTTTTATTGGTTTTTAAACTTTTAATCCATGTTCATGTACAGCATTTAATGTCTGGCTGACATCAAGTTGTTTTTAAATAAAGGTATGGTTAAGTAATTATCTCAGGGCTGGTTAACAGAAAAGCTGATGTGGTAAACATTTCTGCCACCTACATTTAAAATGAAAGTAACATTGTGGCATAAGCAGAGGGTCTTGTTTGCTTTTAGTCACAGTGAGTTTAAAAAACAAAACTCTGTCTCTCTGTTTAAGCTTGTGGACGAAACTCAGTGGACCGTGTTAGAATAGAGAAGCACCACCAACTGCCAAACAGCGCCGGGCCAGATGGAAAACCTGCTGCAATCCGTCACTCCTTCTCATTAAAAAGCAGTAATGAGCGACTGAACATTGGGGCACTGCTGTCCCTTCAGCCCCACGACAGCTGCCACCATAGTTCCTCCCATCTAGAAGGAGATGAGTAAAATAAATAAATCCCTACATTAATAACCTTCTCTGCTGGGACTCGAAGATTGGTGGTAAAGACACACGCTGAGTAAGAACGAAGTGAAATTTGGCAAAAACCCTGTAGAGACGTGCAGAAAGAGGGTGAACATGGTCAAAGTTGGATTTATTATAAATACATATACCATTACTGCAAACCCATATCATGAAAATCTAGTATTTTCCCAAATTATGTTGTTCTCAATCCTCAGATTAGTAAGTATTTGAAGAGAAACATTGTTTTGTGCAACAATAAAAGGGTTTGTTTAAAAAACTAAGAGGATAGAAGGTGTGATATTAAACCGAATTAACCATTAAAGCAGCACGTAGGCTAACAGCTGATTCAGGCTTAAATTAAAACAACCAGGCGCACGCTCACACTCAGCTCCTCTTAGGTGGCTGGGTGAGAGGACGACGACTTGGACACACAATCCAGGAGAAGAGACTTCCCCTCGTGATGCTCGCTCTGCCCTTAGAATGATTACGAGAGGATTTACTTTTAATCCCGTCTCACTCATCTTGTCAATCACCGGTCCGAGAGCTAGCAAAGCCGACATTTTTACAGAAAAATTATGTCCGGAGAGAATTTTGGCAAATTATTGCTGCTTTAAGACGCTTGCTCTGGGGACCTGACTGCTGCTTTCACTTGTATCGTTGTTAGGTGCTAGACTTTTGCAACCGAGTCTGTCAAAACCAGATTGAGGAACTGACACAAACAAAAAAAAAAAAAAGAAAAAACTGTCACGCAGGCATGAGGTGTAAGTAAACACAAACTACGCTTTTTCTTACTTCCTTCTGTTTGCACCAAAGATAAACTGAAAATGGAACCGCTTAATTCTGATACAAGAAAGGTGCACTTATCAGCAGGAAGTCTCCTTACGCTAGTCAACTGTTGTCCTCCAGCTTTGGTTGCCATGGCGATGCACACCACAAAGGAAGTGAGGCACCGAGGCACTAAAAACCTCAGATTTGGACCTAAATTGGCATAGCTTAGCTCACAGCGAGCTAGCTGACACGTTGGAGAAGCTTTCTGAGCTTCTGAAGGGAAAAGAGCAGGTCAGCCGGGGAGAAGCTGTGGTGAAGTCGGGGGTTTAGTGACACTCGTTACAAAGGAGGATGAAAGCGTTTGAGAGGCTGAGGTCAAATCTCAGGTTTGAGGCACAAACGAGGGGTTTGATTTACAGAACGGAGTGTGCACGTGAAGCGGAAAACATTTCAAACTTGAAATGGAGAAAAAATCTGATCTTTGGTGAACCATTTGGGTTGTTTATCGGTAATCGTCCAATCAGCTTGCAGTTTGTCTGAATCTGAGCAGAAAAGATAATCTACGCTTCAGAATTAATCCCGCAGCTTCTGTCAGACGATCAGTAAGTGCTAGTTTAGCTGCAGCGCTGGAAAACTAAACCAGTTTCTCATGCGGGACGTTAAAGAAAAACATATCTTCAAGTATTTTTTCATAAAAAGGAAAAACCAGACATCCGACTGGGGGTGGATGATGACACTTCCATAATACGTTTAGTTTTATCTGTAATAAAACAGACTACTTTCAAATAACTACTCTGCTGCTCATTTCAAAGAGAGTGCTGTTGTCAGGGCCTGCTGAGCTCGCAGTGTATCTGTCTGGAACAGTTATAGAGCCTAACATGCCTACGAACAGCCTCGACACTGCTCTCTCTACCACTCCAGACCACTTACTTTCAACTTTCCCCCCTTTTTTTTGCACGTTCCTTGGAAAAGCGGCTCAGCATACAAACCCAGGCAGATGATGCGGAGCCTAAAATCCCGTCTGCTGCTGATAAACAGCAACACTTTAATCGTCGTTCGATTCTGCAACGTCTGAGTTGCCTCAGCTCGGCGTTAACGGTCGTCTCCATGCGGTCGATTACAGCTGTGGGTGTCACCTTTGGCTTCATTTAGCAATATCTACAACAAAGCTGTTTAAGACACGTAATAATTAAGGTCTTCCATGTTAAATTCACTAAACACCGGGTGTGAAACGAATGCTTGTTTTGAAATCAAGGCGGTGCACATTTCAGCAAATTGCATTATGCTGTTTTTTTAAATGTAAATTTAAACTCCCATTAGAGTCGTTTCACAATTAAGGCCCCTTGTGAACCTCTAATGGCCGCCTAAGGCAGGCCTATTACACGCCTTCCCTCTTCCACCTCTTTTAATGTATTTTGTATCCTCAGAAAATTGCGTTCCTTCATAGACAAACCAGTAATGGGCTACGATTTAGCTGCTAACATGACTAATGATGTTTGGCACTTAAGTAAGCCTCCGTTCTCTGCTGTAGCTACCATCATAATAGGAAGTGCTCCATTAAAACACACTGCTGTATTCCACCCTGCTAAAAGCCAGCTTTGGCTGTCAAGTGGAAAATGATTGATTCCCCGCCACCCCCACCCCGTCAGAATGTGTGAAAATGGACCGGCCGACAATGAGGGCCCAGGATTTTCCCACCATTGTTTTTTTTTTTTTTTTTGCCCCGTCTGACAGGAAAAACAGCCTCGGTACTCACTTTGCAGCAAACTTGACCATCTGCTTGCTGGCACGGTCCCCCACGGCGACCAGCGCTTGCACGTTGAACTGCTGCTGACGCAACACCAAGAAGCATTGCTTCCCTGAAAGCAGAGCGACAACAATAGACACTGCAGGCCAAACAGGTTCGTCGGCGATGAATCTGAAGCGAGGTGGAAGAGAAGCACGCCGTGTGTGACTGGAGATGTGAAAGGTATCCTGCAGCTGCGGGGATAAGGAACGGTGTCAAACGTTTGAGCACGGGGTTTTGTCTTTGAAGAGCAGTGTGTGGAGAGTGTGAGATTGCTACCTTCCTATCAAACGTACACACACCTAGCAGGAGTGTAAACCAGTTAACCGACAAAAACCTGGGGTCAGCAGAAAGGTGGACCACCCAGAACCTTTGATGTTTGCTGCCTGTGGGGAGGAGGGGGGCTGTGGGGATAATAGCAAAGCCAAAATCCCACCAGCAGACGCGCCTCGGCCCACACTAAACCAGGATGTTGTTCTGTTCTCACGCGGACATCCTACAGCGAGCGGGGAGAATGAAAGCACGAGTGGATGGGAAGTGACTCTCCACTGTGGGAGTTATGTTGAAAGGAAAGAGCAGAAATAAAAATTGCAATGGTGATTATTAGTTTCGCTGCAGCAGGAGAGAGAAAGGTGCGGTGCCGGGTAAAGCTCAGTGGGTTCATTGTATTCAAACGAAGACGCGTCATGGCTGCCAGCAGCTGGAACCCAAAGAAAGGACGGATCGTTTGATCTTCCAGTTGGCGGCCGAGTCTGGATATCATATCAGAAACGCCCCGCGGTGGTCAAACCACTCCACGGGAAAATAAATACACAAGTCTTACTAAACTCTAGAGGTGTCTGGTGTGTGATCTATAATCTGCTTTAGCCGCTAACCTTCACTCCTAAAGAGAGTGATGTCATTTATTTAGGTCACATGTAATCCAACAACGCCAACTCGGTTTCAGCCGGCACCGCCGCTCCCTCTCCAGGTGAAGAGGCGCTGTGGAGGAACGGCCCAAGGACAGATGATCTGAGCATCAGACGCCAAGGATTAAAGGTGTGTGTGTGTGTGTGTGTGTGTGAGTGTGTGTGTGTGTGTGTGTGTGTGTGTGTGTGTGTGTGTGTGTGTGTGTGTGTGTGTGTGGAGAGGTATCTCCTCCTGTTTAAATCCTCCACACGGCTCAAAGTTCCTCTCAGCTACAAAAGGTGAACAAACAAATGAGGGGTGATGGAAGTGATCTCACCTTTGGCTCGGCTGGTGTGGATCCGAGCGCGCAACCAGATCAGCTGGTCAGCTTTCTCAGGAGAAAGGTCCTGGACCCGGACCAACACCCTGTCTGGCTCACACACACACACACACACACACACACACACACACACACACACACACACACACACACACACACACACACACACACACACACACACACGCGCACGCGCGCACACACACACGTGCACACGCACACACACACGCGTGCACGCACACACACACACGTGTTATTACTTCAAAAAAGAGCTTTTCTTGCCCCGTTTTCTCATTTTGGGCAAATTATTTCCTCATCTGTCCTTCATATTCCCAAAGGCAGAAAGAAATGTGAATAAGCACACACACACACACACGCACGCACGCACACACACACACGCACGCACGCACACACACACACACGCACAACAAAATTATCAAATTACAGGCATGCCTAATAAACAAGACACACTAGGAGGTGAAAGCTAAACTGGCTCTCGTCTCACTCCGAGGAGCTCGTACTCCTCACCAGCGAGAGGGAGAGGCAGACGCCGACGCTACACCAGCAGCAAACTTTCACTCAACCCACATGAAAGATGTCGCCTCTCACCCCTCCTCCACCCCTTCCCGTCCCAGTGGCTGAACCTGGCATGCAGGTTAGGGAGGCTCTACTTTTGTTGTCACCGGAGCTGAACAACATCCAGACAGACGGACGATGGCGACCGGTCCGCCTGCAGCCTCGCGGCTCCGAGGAGCTCTCAGACTTTGGTGGACTTATCAGTGATATCGCTGAAATCGTTGTAAAAAGGCGACACCACAGGCGTCTTTCGCGATGCTCATCACGTAGATGTGCTCAGTCACTGACTGGAGAGTTGCTTCAGGATGTGTTTTTGTAATTGAAACGGTCTATGAACGCCTGCCTGCTCAACCCGTTTCCTCCAACTAGACCCTAAATTCCAGCTGTGCAAAAGTTTCAGGCATAATAAATACGGTTTAGCACACAAGCATGTCTGTCAGGTGCACAATTACACAAATAAACCAAACACATGCCACTAGTTACCAGGGTGAAACTCATTTCTCACTGGAGAGTTGAGCGGCTTCTCTCCCAGTTTTAAGTCTCCTACATGGTGCTTTCTGTTTCAGATCACGACTGAGCAGCAACAAAACCTAAAGCCCTTATGCTACATCAGCAAGGTCTCTCCCAGACTAAGATTTCACAACAGGCCGGGGTTTAGAGATGTGCTTTTGAGGACGGGCTGCACTGATGATCGTAGACTCTGTGGTCAGCCATCAAAAAGCGGGGCTGCAGATGAAATCTGGCTTACTTCCCTTTGAATGTCTAGCTAGACACATTTATACTAACTTGATATACAGAGAAGTCTGGCCTGAGGTGGTTTTCGTGAATGAATCGCAGCAAAAAACCAAACATTACAAACACTGGCTGCAGATCCTCTGAACCAATGAGCTGTAGGAGAGCGTTTTCTGAGCCGACGGGCTGGAGAGCAGCAACACGAGCACCTGAAGGCTACAGCCGAGCAACGAGCAGGCTTTTAATAGTTTGAGATGGAATTTTTTCAATTAAAGAAACAAATTTGGTAACAGGAAGATTATCGTGCAAGAACTTCTGATTTATTCTACAAACAGAGAGAACTCTGTAAGGTACAGGAGGAGCCCCGGAGGAGATGGCACGGCCCACATTAGGCCCGTTTCCACTATCAGAACGTCTGAGTAACTTCACCAGACTTCTGTGGTATGCTCGTGTCTCTATTTCACCGAGATGGATGAAGCGCAGCAGCCAAGATTATTCTGATCACCCAGCACCAGAGAATGCATCAGAAATCTCTCCACAACGCCGCAAGTTTCACCACTTTGTGGTCTCAGAGCGTGGTACGAACGTCGCTTTTTACATCACTCAGCCACTGTCCCCGCCCCTCGGATGGATTTAATTATTTTTTTTAATTATTAATGTCCGTGGACACTTTTCTGCGCTCATCATTCACTGTTGGAGTCGTCCCGACACGCTGACGTCTTCGCAAAGTCCTGCAAAGGGCCGATTCTGTCAGGAGGCAACAACTGAAAGGACCGAGCCATCGCACCTCCGGGTCACATTTACAATCTCAGAAACTTCCTGGAACTCCTGGAGCGGGAACACGGCTGCAGAGTCCACAAAGGATTACACGAAGAGGAAAGATTTTAGTTGCTCTGCTAAAGTTTCCAGAACAACCTGCCGTTAGAGATGCATCAACAAGAAGCGGTGCTGCTCTGTAGACAAAGGTGCTCACACACCAAACACACTTTATTCAATAATGAATGAGTAAAAGTGCAACGTGAAACATAAAACAGCCTGTGTTAAAATGACCAAATCCTTTGTGCTTATTGAGGTTTTATGTTGCTCCACTAATAAAAATGTTACTTCATGTGCTCCAGTTACAGCGTGTGTGGTGTGTGTGTGTGTGTGTGTGTGTGTGTGTGTGTGGCAATAACAAGACAAGAATTTAATATCTTCTCTTTCAGCTCAACAACAACTCAACTTCCTGTCTGTTTGGGGTGTGATGATGAGAGAAGGTAGCTGCAATACAAACCCAGTTTTTGCTGCGACTGGACCATAGCTGACACACCGTACCGCTCCTTGGCAAAGTCCTTAAAGCATAAAAAAACACGTTTTAGTGCACGCACACGAGCTCGAAGAATCTGACGTCGGTCTGTCTGCTACTTGGGAGATAACAGGCAGACAGGACAGATATCGGGGCTTATCGCCATCTTGGGAAAGGTTGTGAAACAGAAAACAGGAATTTAAAGTCATGCAAGATGGTATTTGCATACAAGTTGCAGCAACAGTGTGAAGCGGCAGCATCAGAGGGAGGAACACGTGTGATCTGTGGAGAATACCTACATCTTCATCTGCACCTTGTTGCTCCGAAGCCTGAAAACACAAACAAAGCGACAGGAACGTTACGGGGCGTTGCAGACAGACGTGCTATTAAACTCAAAAACAAAAGATGCTTTAAGATATTCAACTTGTAATGGAGAGAGGTTTCGCTACAACGGTTGTGTAAATCGGGCTTTCATCCTGTACTACAAGGGGCTGGAATGAAATTAATAACTCCTAGCTCGGCCCAAGAGCCGGGCGTTAAGATGCCCAGAACGCACAGCTCCTCCGCTCGCTGCTCCAACACATCACAGGCAATGAGTAATGGCAGCGGGAGATATTGCCGTGTAATGGAAAGGGTGTAAGTGGACAGATATTCTCTATCTCTGCACCGACGTCTAGGCAAATGACTCCCAGAGTGCTACGAGAGCCGGCGCCGGCAACGCTACCGTTCCATTTTCTATGCAAATTGATATTGGTGTACGGAAATGGCCGGTGGCAGCGGAGTGGATTGGACTCGCCCATCCTTGATATAATAATTCAGTCGCATGATGGATGATCCTGCATCTTAGGATCAACCGAATATAGACCAGCTGTAGCCACGAAGCTGGCGAGTGGCATCGGACCCACAGACGTGACGAGTGTTTGCAGAATAAGAGCAGAGCTGATAAAAAAAATACCTCAGTAACATTCAGCTCAGCTCTCAGGTCTTCCCCGAGGCAACGCTGTCTGCGCCACACTGATGTAAGAGGCAGCAGCCGGGGGATCCAACAGTGACTGCAGCTGCTCCTTCCATAAAACGCCACCGACGGGATTCCTTCAGCTGGAAGACGGTTCCGCGCTGCTTTCACCTCAAAGCCACCCGAGCTGTCAAAGCGCCGCGCGCGGTGTCAGGACCGCACGACTCCTCTTGAAGGAGACACGCTTTTCCATTTTTCATGGGTTGACTTGGATTTTCCTGAAGTCTTAATAAAAGGTCTGCGCCAAGTTCTGGCCCAAACCGGATTATTTTACAGGTTGTGTTGGGACACCGGACTCTGCTTTACCTCTCTTCTGTGTGGTTCTCCTCGCGGGTTAATTACGATCATCAACACACGACGAGAACCTTCTTCTAGTTCACAACACGCCAGCTGAGACTGATATCAGCCAACAGCTCAAATAACTTTAAAGATTCATGAGAACTTAATTGTCCTAAAATATTTACATTTCCCTCATCAGCGGTTTAGTCGTGGACAGAGCCGTCTTCGAGCATTATGACGGCGGGGTGACGGTGCCACAGGAGTTAAGTGTTCGCCCTGTAATCGGAAGGTTGCAGGTTCGAGACCCGCTCAGTTTGTCGCTGTGTCCTTGGGCAAGACACATAACCCGCCTTGCCTGCTGGTGGTGTTTGGAGGAACGGTGGCGCCTGTGCTCGGCAGCCTGGCCTCTCAGTGTGCCCCAGGGCTTCTGTAGCCACTCATCCCCACCAGCGTGTGAATGGGTGAATGACTGATTGTGTTGTAAAGCGCCTTGGGGGGTTCCAGAACTCTAGAAGGCGCTATATCAAATACAGGCTATGTACCATAATCCCTTGGCGAGTCCACTGTTAGAATGACCTTGGTTTTTAAGCATTGCTCTGTGGAAGTTGCTTTACGGCTCCATAAACTCGGGGCTTCACCGTGAGACAGTTCCTCTGTTTGTTTGTTCAACGCTTCTTCAACACTAACACCAAGACTTGCTGCCTGTTTACAACACTACTGAGAAAAAGAAGCACATTTTAAGCATCTAGATTTGGAGGAAAAAGCACTGGTAAAGCAAAGTTGGCTCATTCTTTACTTAAAGGTCTCCAGTAATGTTTTTGTTTACAACTGGAAACTGCAGTTTGGGCCTCTATAAGGCATATGAAACATAAGATAATAACCCAGGAGTCCTGCTGAATGAGAGGGAGTGAGGACACTGCAGACGGGTGAAGGACCACAAGCTTTAGCTTGGAGCAGCAGAAGCTCAACAGGTTGAGCGGGTTGTCCAGTAATCGGAAGGTTGCAGGTTCGATCCCGGCTCCAGACAGAGAATTCTGCTGTTGTGTCCTTGGGCAAGACACTTAACCGGTGGCGCCTGTGCTCGGCAGCCTCGCCTCTGTCAGTGCGCCCCAGGGCAGCTGTGGCTACATCGTAGCTCATCACCATCAGTGTGTGTGAATGGATGAATGATACACTGTAGTGTAAAGCGCTTTGGAGTCCTTACTCTGAGAGGCGCTATACAAGTGCGGGTCATTTATCATTTAGATGCATCTGGCACTGACTCATAGCCTGGACAATCCCGGTACATGCTGGAACGTGAGTGGTACGTTCTGCAGTCGGCAATACTGCGGCCAGTATTTATATGTTCCAGACGCTGAAGTGGGATGGGACGTGCAGATTACGATATAAGCTTATGGCGTGTTAAACCAGTGTTTCTAGAGTGAACCGTTTGTCCGCGGCCATTACAACATTACTAATCTACATAGGCAAGCAGGTCGAAGACGGGACACCCCAACCTACTTTTGTTCAACAACAAATGGAGCTTAAATTGTAGGGTCCAAAATAAAATAAACAGATAGATTGAATTTCTGGTTGTTAAGGTACATCAAATGCAGCGTGACTTCTTATAAGATGGTGAGGTGATTATTTTAGCTGAAGAAATAAAGCTACAAAATCAAATATGAGTTTCTGTAAGAGGAGATGTGAAGAAACAGGTGAGAAAAACACACTTCTGATGAAAAAGTGTGTTTTGAATACTTGATTACTGAGTCTTCCCCACTCATTTAATGTTACACCATTCAACGTTTTTGCCTACAATCACATCTGCACTCTAGGGAACCCGGTTCAACTCAGCCCTAGGCGTGAAGAGGAAAACGACAGAGCTTCAGAGACAACTAATGAAAAAGGACTTACAGCACTGCTTTGATCAGTGAATGCCGCACTGGGTAGCTGCAGATGGGGCAGAGCACGTATAAAAGAGGAAAGGGTCCAAAATGTATGTTCAGTTCAGTAATACTGCAATGGGAGGGCGGGTCACACCTCTTACTCAGCTAAATGAGCAGAGAGCAAATGGAGTACTTGTACAAAACACACGTTTGGTGCTAAAACCTACTTCAGCGTTGGCACAGGTCACCAAAACCTTGTTTTGTTGCTTCTACCTTCACAGTCAGGTTTTCTTGTACATTGTTTTAAAGATGTTGTGTTTTTATGAAGGTCTGGCATCTAGAGAAACTATCTTCATATTAAAGATGTAGCTCCCAGAAGCTAACACGCTAATGTAAGCTTGAAATCACGTGAGCGGAGAAAGCGCTTTGATTGGCCTCTAGAATATTTCAGCTCACGTAGTTTCTGCCCTCGTGAGGCAACAAATATCAAACCGGTTCGATTTTGCACCTCAGCGTCTTGTGAGGCAGAAAACTCAGTGAAAATTAGGCGTGGACAGCGAGGTATCTGCTGAACAAACGACCTCGAAGGACTGTTAGCTCAGCAGTTTGCTCTCGTGTGTCAGGCTTAAGATGCTGTTGTAGGCATATTTTGTCAGAGTGGGCGGAGTTTCACTAAAATGAAAGATTTTTAAATTCAGGCTGACGAAAACAACTCGTACTTAAGATAAAGGACATCTCAATAGTGCCAACTGTAATATTTTATCATATACTGTGCCTACTAGGGATGAGCCGTGCCGGTACGGATAAAGCATTTTTAACGAATACCAGCATGAAACGAGTAAAACTCATAAATATCTGTAATCGTGCTGAAGGAAAATCCTCATTGGGTAACTGACTGTCTTCACCCTCCGTGATTGGCCAGTCACATCGAGCGCCCGCCCCTCCCTACACACAAAACTCTGCAGCCGGGAGTCTCTCTCTCTCTCTCTCTCTCTCTCTCTCTCTCCACTTTAAATATTAATGTTCTGATTTTATTGAACACTTGTTCTGTAATAATTCCTTTACTATTGTGATGAAAAATATTTAATCTCTATTCTGAGGCTGCTCTGTAAATAGTTTTCAAATAAACAATACACACATAGCAACTCCTGATCATTCCATATCAATTTCAGATTTAAAGTAATGTGTTGACGTAAGTCACACCCACTTCCAGTTTAACTACACCTACTTCCGGGTGAGGCCACGCCCACTCCGAGTACAGACACAGATATTCTAGATGGTTGAACAGATGCAGATACAGACAGTGGTGTACTCGCTCATCCCTAGTGCCTACCTTTGCTCTCAAAGGTTTAAAATAGCAGGATATGGATATTTTATAAGAAGTGAATCCATTTTTATTGAGAATTTACACGATGAAATTAGCTGCATTTCTTTTATATGGTGCATTTAAAACACCGACTGATGGAAGGCAGCAGTTTTCACCACCTTAAATCTGATGCAACAACAAGACCTTGCAATACCACTGAATGTGTCTTAGAAGTGTCTGGCCTGAGTTTTTTAAATTGCAAATATCATCTGACTTTTAGTATTGTGATGAATATCGGATCGCCAGATTCTTGCCAACACACACTCCTAGTTTATACGCTCTGCAAGGTTTTTTATTTCTCAAACTGAATCTGCTGTTAAAGCTAAGAAAAATGAAGAAATGACAGTTTGTGCCCTCTCAATTTCACATTCCCCAGAAGGTTTTGAAAAACAGGTTAGACGGGATTGCAAATTATTGATTCATATCCATCACCTGCTCACAAGAGACCCCATAACCCTAAGAAATATAGCGCCTCTGTATTTAGAGTTTGTACAGCTGCGTGAATCTGTTTTTCATCATTTCTCTGGTTCTCCTACCTGCACACGAGGGTTATGGACGACATGAACTATAACTGGTCTACACGCCTGCGTTGCTGCTTCATGTTAACTGTGTGCACTTTGAAGAAAACAGCACTTTGTTTGGGTGGACATAAACAGTCAAGATGACAGGAATGTCTGAACAATGGAACCCCCCTCATCGGCTTGCGGACCCTGCTGAGCCCACGATGCCCGCTAGAACAGAGCGCCGCTGCGTCACCAGCTGTAAAGGAGTGCTGGACGTGAAACATCAAAACAGAAAAAAAAAACCAACACAACACTACCGCCATGGCCTGTTTCTCAGCCTTCCTCGCAGCTTTCTCCGCTTCCTTCTGCTGTTTCTTCAGGGCTTTCTTAGACTGAGCCTGCTGCTCCTCCGTCGCGCTGAAGCAGGAAGAAAACACACAATACAAACATGAAAGTCCACTTCCACCACTTATTTCTCCTGCAGCCCACCAGTTAGTAGTTGACCGCCTGGGAAAATGAATTCTGAGCCGTCACCACCTTCAGCTTTCAAGTGTGCTAGCTTTAATCCTATTGTTGTATGGGACAGAACAGCTGAAACCAGGATGAGTGAACGTGTGAGAGTTTGGAGAGCCGCAGTCAGAGATGTCAGGGATTAGATTAGAAAAATAAACCGTTTTAAGACGACAAGCACAGATTATCTAATTATGATAACATTTTGTCTCATCTTTAGTTGAAGGTGTTCTTTTCTACACTCTACCTGACAACTGTACTGATAAATGTTATTGGCCTACATTTGAATGAAACCAACATTAAACTCACGTTTCAGTGTAATGATGAGGCCATAACCCATCTACAGGAATCTGACCCACAGATTTATTATTGTCTATTTAATTTTATATTTTCTTTATAAAAAGATGGCTTTTGAATCTGTGTGCAAATGATTTATGCTTTTAAAGAGTGAAAGATGACAGAAGAAATGGAACATTAAAAATCTGATTATAGACATAACACACAAGGTCTGCTGCACTTATCCATTCACAGATACTTCTGTGCACCTGCAGGTGGATAAATGAGCAATGTTTGATTTCCCAAAACAGCAGGACCCTCAACCTGCAGGAAGCTCGTAAGATCAGGAAATAACAAGGACCAGAGGATAACTATGAATAGCGATAAAGCCCAAACAAAAGCCCAAAACTGCAACATATTATGGCTTCCAAGGGAGTGACTCAGGTCACATTTATATTTCCTCTGCAGCCTAATGACACCACTGATAGAACTACACAACGGAACAGCCGCTGAAGGTCAACATCTCTCTGTGACACCTGCAACGAAACGTGAATTTAAGATCATCAACTGGCATTTAAAAGAGACACAGAATCAGCGTCGAATGAACAAACAACCTGAAACACAAAATCCTGGCCGAATATGCGAGAGTAAGCAGAACCAACTACTAATTTCACTCTGTTTAACTGTATCTGGACCAGTGCTGCAACAATACAAGGGACATGACGAGAAAAGTTAACCAAAAAAAAAAATACTACAATGCAAATATTGCAGCTGTTTCATAAAATGTACTAGCTTAAAAAGCTAAAAAAAAAACACTGAAAACTTTTCTTCAAAGCAACCTTTTTCAACAAACGGGATCATTTTGGTGAGTGTGTGCTGTCCATCGATTATCAGGACAGATAATCGATTATCAATGAGTCAAACGTATTCAGGTTGTTGTGTAAATCTCTTGCCTTACCAACACAAAACAACAGCTTCACTGTCAAATGGTTGACTGTTTTTTATATCACACTGTAATAAAAAGGCAGTAAAAGGGCTGGACAGCAAAACATAAAACAAAATGGCATCAACATATGAGCAAAGTTCAGAAATCTAAGAGCCCTTCCCATTAAAATGCTCTTTATAATGCCAGTGTGTCATTTGAGAAGAATATAATGCTTTTGGACTGGTTTTACTGAACTCTGCACTATTTAAAAAGCTTCCATTTAGTCAGTTTAAAATATTAGACATTAGGAAAGGCTTTTGATTAGTCGTTTTTTTATTTTACAGTGTGTCAAAACACCCTTTGAACTCAGACTAAATCATTCAAAATTAGTTTTCAGAAATTATACATCAAACATCTGGAAATTAGTGATGCACCGATAGAAAATCTTCGGGCCGATACATCACTGTTATGTCTGATAACCGATATTTGCCGACACCGATATACTGACATTAATGCTTCTAAAATCAGCTGATTTTGTATAGAATAAAAATTATTAAAGCTGAATTTACGTTATTATGTACACACAACACGCACACTTACGCATCTGAGATGATTACAATCCGTGTCACATGACTAAACAAAATACACATCACACCCCTCATCCTCTGAAACAGAACAAATGGAAACAAGATGGAAAAATATTGGTTGTTAATATCAGCTCAGTTTTATTTATCGGACCGATACGTTAAAAAATTACTATTGATGTTATTAAAGTTATTATAGTCTTGCTTTTTAATCATTCATGCATGAGATTAAAATGTTTTCAGCATTAAAAAACATTTTTTTTACATAAGAGAGGCAATAACTACAAATTAGTGATGCACCAATATGAACTTTTTAGGCCGATTCCGATATTAGGATCACTGTTATGGCCGATAACCAATATTTGCCGATACCGATATACTGACATTAACGTTTCTAAAATGAACAGAATTTGTATGGAATTAAATTATTAAAGCTGAATTTACATTATTTTGTACACACACATTTACGCTTCTGAGATGATTACCATCACTTTCACATGACTAAACAAATACCCATCACCCCCTCACCCTCTGAAACAGAAAAATAAATGAAGACAAGATGGAAAAAAAACATTGGTTGTTAATATCGGCCCGGTTTTATTTATTGGACCGATTTGTTAAAAAACGACTAACATCAGCCGATACCGATATTGATGCAGATATATTGTCCATCCCTACTACAAATATGATTTAATACAATTTATCAAATGCAACATATGCCCTGCTGTGTCAACGTTTCAAATAAGTAAGTGTTTTGTGTGTAAATCATATTTTTCTTTAATGGAATTGAAAAATCAGCCTAAGATTAAGTTAGGTGCAGCACTTTTTAATTTCATTTTCATTTTCTGTTAACTTCAAATTTGTACCTATATCTTAAGAAAACACTCAAGAAAAACGCATAAGATATAAAACAATTTGTGATTCTAATCAAATTTGATATTTGCGTTTAAAATGCAGGGCTTCAGTTTTTGCTTTTGAGTCGTACTTTAATGCAAATCTGATTAAGCCCAGGTAGAAAACCAGACCATTTTTTGATCTATTTAACACTTAAAGCACTTACATCAAAAGATTCTGAAGTTTAAAGGAGCGAAACTTCATAATTTTAGACTAATTGTTAGATGATGCAATCTGCAGTATGCAAAAGCAATACAAGTTAGCTGCTATCCGAGCTAGCATTGTGTCGATTCAGGTGCTGTTAAAACAAACGTCACACCGGTCTTACCCCTGAACTCCTTCCTTCGTCATGTCGGGTTATTACAGTCTTTGAAAATCGGGATAAACTATTTAAAAACTGTCTGACAGAGTAAAGCAAAGCATCAGCTGTTCACAGCATGCACGGAAACCGGAAGTAAGGACCTGTTTTGAACAGACACGAAACACCGGATGCTTAAGATTCCGGATGGAAACGCATCACAGAATGTTGTTCCGCTTGCTTAACTTGGTCGACAAGGGAGACAAAATACTGTAAACAAATAATAGGAAATTACTTTGATTGTCTTCGCACTGTACACTTTGCTTCCACAGCAACAAAAAACATTATTTTTTCCAGAAAAACGAATAATAGGAATAGCTAACTAAATTCCTTGTAAAGAATCATAAAACACACAGTTTAATTAAATAGTTCCAGGATTTGGTAGATTTTTTTTAAACGTCCTCAATTATTTACAGAAGAAAAAAAACAGAGTGAGGGACAAATGCCAAACACTTTTGTCTTTTTTATAAGTGTAATGTTGTGGAATAATTTCAAAAATGAAATGGGACAATGAAGGGTTTAATACAATTAGGTTCGTTTTCTAATTTGAGTAATCAGCTTGTGATGCGAAGGAGGAAAGTTCGAAAGTTAAAAACTTGCCAGATGATTGTCTTGTTTATAGATTTTGCTTATTGTGGGCATTTATATTAATTTGAATGGATATTTGGTTAATTTTGATGGATACTGCGAATCTTAGTGAGTTTATGAGACCAGAAGATATGCTGCAGCTTCAGTCATTATCATTTTTAGAACCCATTATCTGACTGGCTTCTTTCTTTCTTTCTTTCTTTCTTTCTTTCTTTCTTTCTTTCTTTCTTTCTTTCTTTCTTTCTTTCTTTCTTTCTTTCTTTCTTTAGTTATTTGTTTCAGCTTGAATATTAAACTAAAGGAATGCTGCTTAATTTTGCACAAAAATATAATTATATTCATAAAGGAAATGTTTGTGGGAAAACTTTTTACAGGGTAACCCAGGGTTATGCCAAAAGAACAAATAAAGCATATAATGCGTAAATTCTCTATTAATAGATTAGAAATTAAAATAAACACAATTCAACAAATAATGGGTGGCTTAAAACAATCAGTTAGATATCAATCTACCAAAGATTTTGAGCTAAATCAAACCTCAAAAGAAACTCAGTTATGTCTGAGGTTCTTGTTGTTTCCTCATTTTAAGATTTTCTTCTTTGTTTTTTTGGGCTTCAAATTGCTAAAACAAATTCATGCCAACAAAATGCACAAACGCCACAAGTCTGGTCCAAAGTGTTAAAGATGGTAAAGTTCTATTTTCACTTTCTGAAGAACAGAAATGAATGTATGATTCTTGTGCAGAATAATGCACACATGAACACGGTCCTCACGTGTGGGATCCAGAAAACTCTGAAAGATTGAGATGACCTTTGGCTGAGCGCATTAAGTGCATGCAGGTATCCAGTAACCTTTGCAGCAGTGGGCTGGCACAAACAGGGTGGTTTGAATTTGGTGGGGGTGTCATCAAAGCTTTTCTCAGGCTGTTGGCTGCAGAAGCTCCTGACACAGGAAACAGCCTTTCTGCCGCTCACTTTCCTCCTAAAAACAACGTAACCTTTAACGGAGCGTGTCGCTTCACAAAAACAGCCTATTTACTCATTTGTCCTTTTATCTGACACTTGTTCTCTCACACCACATCTGTTATTATTATTTGTTCTAATTATATCCCAAGATGATCACTCCATTAAACTCAAGCTGAGGGGCTGAAGGAAATCCCGACGTGTGCTTTGGGATGCACAGAGGTAATGAGTTACCAAAAGGAACAACTTCCTATTTACTTGAACAACTTTAGCCTTTAACCTGCAGGAAATTAAACAAGATCCCCCCCTTGCCTTTGGAATACCTGCATAAATTAGTTTTAGCTAATAAAATTTATTTTTAACTGTGGAAGTGCCTCTTAGATGTTAATTTGGTTAAAAAACACTTCTAAAAATGTTAGGGATGAGATCATTTGGGATGTGGAATACTGTAGTGTCCCATCACATGGAGAGAATAAAGGCTTTAATAATAAATGAAAGGGAATCTTTGTGCACACTCCAGTGAATTCCTAACAGGGTTGAGTATTTAAAATTTATGCCTTCAAGTGGGCATCTGAATCTGGAGAGGAACAGCGTTTATTTATCTCGACGAGGTTTAAGAAGGTCAAACACATTTTCAATTAGACCCATTAAGAGGTTGAGAAACTCTCTACTCCCCTAGCAGTCCTAGTCTGGACTAACCACGCTGCCTGTGTTTTCCTGGCAATTAAAAGTTGACCCCAATCTATCAAGATTAAAAATCTCTCAGTGAATGCTAAACTCTCTCCACCAGATAAAGCAACTTAACTCAGAATAAGTTTTACGCACTCCCAACTAAAAGGTTTGGTTCACTTCTTTAATCAATACATTTGCAGTGGTCTCTAGCAGGAATGAACGCTTTGTAAGTCCTACTCTGGTGGAAAAAAAGCCCCAGCGCACCTGTTTCAGGAGCTAATGGCGCTTACACATTAGCGTCGGCACGGCCCCAAAAGGTACCGAACGGCACCGGAATTTGGCTTTCACGCACAGGTCAGATTTACGTTTTCTGTGCCGAGGCGACTCTTTCTCTCAGACCTTCTCCCCAGCCATCAGACTGGGACCGAGGCGACACTACGGACTGATTGGCCAGCTGAAATTAAGCCTGCGGCCTCTGATCTGCGAGAAGAATGAGCCAGCGGGAAGGGGGGGGGGGGGGGGGTGTCCCGCATGCACGATTCATTTTCATGCTGGATGCTGTTGAGTAAACTTCTGTCTGTAGCACGGAGCTGCCGTTCCGGAGCTACCGATCAGTGTGGGAACGGGAGAAGAGAATAGCTCTGTGTGCATCGGAGCTCTTGCCCTGGCGAGCAGACAGCTGCTCAGGGGAGAAATCTGTGTGTGTGTGTGTGTGTGTGTGTGTGTGTGTGTGTGTATTGCACAAGATTATGAGGACACACACAGCAACTTAATAAAATAATGTGGTTCCGAGTCTCCAAAAGCAACGCAGCTCATGTCCGCCTTTGTTTAACTTATAATGGAGGACACCGCAGACTTTCCTGCACATATTAAACTCCGCCCACAGGCTCTGGGATTTCCGCATTCCTGAAAAGTCCCTTGGATTTATATGTGAACACTTCACCGCCCGTTCGAGACCGAACTCACGCCATCCAGCCCGACCAAACCCCGACCGTGCCTTCGCTAATGTGTAAGTGCCATTAGATAAGCCGCATCCCAGCTGCGCTTCAGGCGGCAGGTTTTTCCTAATATTTTGACATCTCCCCTCTGATTGGCAAACAGCAATGCGACTCTACTACTGACTCAGTTTGATCTGCAATGTTGATGTTTAATTTCCACAAATAACACAAGCCTGGAGGAGTTCTCCTGTGTAGTGGAAGTGCTAATGCTAACAGTTAGCTTCTGCTAGTCGAGACGTTCTCTGCTGTTTCCTGGACGCTGAACCAACAACAGCCTTCCCCGTCGCAAAGTCAGGATGGGTGAGTCCATGAATGTTAAGTGACAGTGTGATGTAGATCTGTCAGGCTTTTCTAATCCTAGTTTCACCTTCTATTTTCTATCAGAAGCTAATGCAGGAGATAGGAGTAGGAGACTATTTTCATGTTCAGCTTGCATGAAAAACTCAAAGTGAGCCATTATAATCAGAAATAATCATAAAAAATGTTATATTTTTCAGTGATCCTCACCTGTTATAACAACTCTGAAAACAAGCGAGGTTTTGAGCTCAAACACAGTAATAAAAAACTCACTCCTCCCCTCGGGTATCCTCCCTGAGACGCTTCTGCCAGAACCAAAAACCCGTATTGCCGGACTAAACGTGCCAGCATTAAACACCAGTCGAAGTTTTCCAGGTCTTTTGTTGTCCATGACTTCAAATGGTGTTTTTTTTTTTGGGGGGGGGGGGGGAACTTTGGGGGTAGTTTGTACTAAAGTTGAAGTGGTAGCAGCCGGCTGTTTCTCCCTCTCTGATATTATTGAGCGGAGAAACTCACACCAGTGTTCTGTTGCTAAATACGTGTGTGTGTGACGAGTGGAGGACCCAGGGAAGACAAATGTGAGAAAGCTTCTTTAATATTTTTAATCCACACAACATGTTTATATCTATACTTTGTTAGAATGTTGTCAAAAGACATGAAAAAAAAAGTTTAAGCTAATTTATTTTACAAATTTGCTGTTGCAACTTTAAAAAAAAAAGCTGTTTTTTCCTGTTCCACCGTGAGAGCAGTGCCCCAATCCAGGCTTGGCTTAACGGAAGCAATTCACTTTTTTCTCGCATGCAAAAGACGTGGAAATGCATCTGAATGGAGGTTCTCAATGAATCCCAGAGCCGCATTGTGCAAAGGCCATTTGATGGCTTCATTCTCCGTGGCATCCATTGTTGTCTGCTTCCTTTGGTCTCCGTGTTGAACATCACTGTCACCAGCTCAGCTCAGATTTAATCTGCAGATAAAAGTCCTCGCTGAAAGATTGATGTGGGTTTGAGTTCAAAACGTGTGATTTGTAACATATCGTGTCACGATCTCGCTCTGGTACCAGTGATGTACTACCGAATCCTCATGAAAGACAATGCACGCCCATTTGCATCCTCTGCATTTTGAATAATTTGGTTTTGTTATTTAGTTAATGGGTAAATTGACCTACTGACCCATTTTATGAGGTGAATACTTGTTTACAAGCCAGATGTAACAGAGGCAGTATATCTTGCAAAGTGAAAATAAAGAGAATCAGTCAGAGGAGGACTTAACATGCTAATGTCTTTCTTCCAGAGACATGTGGACGCTAATTCTAAGTGAAATTTTCGGCTTTTGTGTCACGGTTGCCTAAGATGTAAAGTGCACAGATGTTACTGCAATTACAGGGTCTGTCGGCTCAGTCCTCCGGCTTACTAGTCCAGCTCAGGTGGTGACATTTGTTAGGAGACTCTCAACCCCCACCAACACTCGGACACGCCCACTCACTCCCCAAGGACCGGGAGAGAAATTTTAAATAAAAACAATCACATTGTTTCTTAAAGAACTCCAGACTTTTATTTTACATTCCAACTAGGTTTAAAAAAAGTTTTAAAAAGCATTCTGCGTTTAGTCTTTGTTCTACAAATACTCAGCAATAAATAACAGCTTTCAAGTGCGAACACACAAATGCTACAAACTGCACGGTTTTTACAAGCAGCTGACAACAACGTAACAGAATAAAGTAAAAATATCATCAATCTCAAGAAGTGAAACGAGGCACTGCCTGAACATAATATCTTAGGAGCAAAAAAACCTGGAACAAAAACACACAACTGCAGTTTTAAAAGGTATAAAAACACAAAAAAAGTATATAAAAATGCTTTTTTTACATATGTACAAAATGTAGTAAGTTTGTTCTTTAAATTAAAGCTTAGCTTTCGTGTCTCTTGAGAGAATAAAGTCACTGACACCTGAACCAACGCAGGTTAACTGGACAGAACACTCGAAGACTCGGACTCTGTGGATACGGAGGAAATGGGCCCTCGCTTTTTGGCCATGAGAGTCACTTTCTGGCTCGACTTGCTGCTGACTGTCAGGGTGCTCCGCGCCGTCTTCTTAAACTTCACCCCCAGGAAGGCGTAGAGGATGGGGTTCAGACAGCAGTGGAAATAGGCCAGTGCCTCGGTGACGGAAATCCACTTGTCCACCGCGTGCTGCAGCTCACAGCTGGGGGTGACCACATTCAGCATCATGAGGTTGTCCAAGAAGATTCCAGCGCAGTAAGGAAGCCAGCAGCCGAAGAAACACAGGATCAGGATGACCGTGGTCTTGAGCGCTCTCTTCTTCAGCACCTGGCCCTTGGCGCCCTTCGACAGCTTGGAGATGATGATGCAGTAGCAGATGAGGATGACCAAGCCGGGCAGGATGAACCCAACCAGGATGTGTTGGAAGCGGAAAGCGACCGTCCACTGAACGATGTTTTCCGCGGGGTAAAAGCGCTGGCAGATAGCCCTGGAGTGTTCTGTCTTCAAGCTGTCATTTAGAAAAAGGAGATTGGAGGTACTTTTATCCTGGACCCCAGCAAACACCAGGTCAGGAACAGTCAGAATGGCAGCAGGCAGCCACACTCCAACATAGATCACTCTGTTTGCCAGCAGTTTTCTCGTCACTTGGCTGTTTGTGGCTTTAACAACAGCTAGGTATCGGTCCAAGCTGATGAAGGCCAGGATCAGGACGCTGCTGTACAGGTTGACCGTGTAAATCATGTGGACGGTGACACAAAGGAAGCCTCCAAAGTACCAGGTCTTAGCAGCATCCACAGCCCAGAAGGGCAGGGTGAGGACAAACAGGAGGTCAGCCATGGAGAGATGGAGCCGGTACTTGTCTGTCATCGTTTTGACCTTCTTCTGGTAGCCCATGACAAGCACAACTAAACCATTGCCAATGATGCCAAGCACGAATATTATTCCATAAACGGTAGGGTGGAAGATTTTGTTGAAACTGCTGTTGATCGTTGCAACACATGGCCCTAGCATGTTTGTGTCATAGTCACCAGACTCCTCTGAGAAGTTGTCAGTGCTGTTGTCAAAAATCAGGGAGTAGTCTGTGTAAAATTGCCCCTAGAATGAAAAAAAAAAATTAAAATATAAGAAAACAGCTAAAAATTTTAAATAGTTAAACAGTTAAGAGATTTACAACTTTAACTCAGTCAGAGAAAACAACCCCAAAGAGCAGGTGAAGAGGATACGTTATTTACAGCCAACAGAACTACTCACCTCCATGTTTACCAGCCGAGGACCATGTGCGTTAGGGGACAGAGAGAGCGCGTCTGCGCGTCAGGAAGATTGATCAGTTGTGTCTGCTAGATCGGGAGTTTCTCCATTAAGTAGCTGCCCCGATGCCCCGCCCCCTTCCCATAGGGGAGGCGTGTGTGTGTGTGTGTGTGTGTGGGGGGGGGGGGGGGGGGGGGGGGGGGTCGGGGCACCGTCTCCAAAAACAGCGTCACTATAAAAACTTCCATCTCTGCTCTGCTGGTGGCAGGGGCGGCACCAGTGAAACTTCTGCCTGCAGAAACAGTGGTGCCTTGTGTAACGGACGGTCCTACGAGAATTACTCACTTTTTAACCAAATATGTGACCACAATAATCCGATTTTTTTTAAATCTCCACTTTTAACAGTTTTAATTGTCTGGATTGAATCCAAATGTGTCAAATAATAAAAATAAAAATGAAAAACAAACTTTATTCACACTTTTTTTAAAATTGCTCCATGATGTATAACTTTGAATAATAACAAAAGAGTGATATGAGCGTTACAAGAAACCACAAAAGTACCTGAAATCGTCACTCGTGGCACGTTTTATACAAAAGAACATTTTAAAGATTACAAAGCCTCTTCAGGTGACGTGTCAGCCTCCTGCGTGACACAAAGGCAGGTATCTTTTGAGGTCTCTTCCCGCGCAGGCTCTACAAATCATCTCATAACTGTGTCCGATGACAGTTCTCATCATCAGAGGCTCGATTCAGTTCTCACCTTTATCCACACTCTGTCACTTCTCAGAGGCGGTTACGTCTGCGCTCCCAAGTGCTAAATGAATCCCCAGAGGGTCTGAAAAAAGCCGCACGCCCAATAACATGGGATTTCTGTCACACGGCTCTCAAGCCTGCAGCGTGCAGAACGTTCTCACTCTCAGGGCTCCACCGCAGCACTTCTCTGATTTCAGTTAAAGTAGTGATGGCAGTCCACACCAAACTCCCCGCCCTCCTCTCACACGCGGCTGTTTGAAACCCAATATCCTCCATGTGGCATGCAAATGCTACTTGTGCCTTTGATATATGAGAGTAATGAGAGATTCAGAGAGTCGATGCGCATCATTGATTCCACCGATATACCTCACTTGTGCTAAAGGGAGAGTGTGGATATTTATAAGCATCTGCTTCACATTAGAGATAGATCATGATTGTGTCCACATCAGACAGGGCAACCCTGGAAACAAGCATCAAGAGGTTATTTCTCTGTATGTATGGAGGGCATTGAACGTGAGGTGCAGCAGATCATGGAAGGCAGGGTATTTATTCACTTCCATGCCTGGAGGGCCGGTATTCAGCAGGATTTAGTTTTAACCCTGCTTCAACACACCTGATTTCAATCAGCAGGTGATTAGCAGGCTTTTGCAGAGTCCGATGAGCTTCTGCACAGGTGATTCAGCCACTGAATGAAGTGGTTAGGAGCAGAGAAACCACTGAAACGTGCTGGATGCCAGCCCTTCAGGCCCATAATTAAATATCCTTGATGGGAGGCATCAATACAGCAGGGTTGGGGGTTATTTAAAGACCAAGTTCACTGAGAAACAGTTTTTACTTATTATTTTTGAAATACAATTGATCAAGGACTCACCCATCTTGGCTCCTGATGGGGAATGCTGTTGTTGATTTAGCGTCCAGGAGTGAGCACAGCATGTTTGGCTAGTAGAAACCAACTGCTAGCATTAGCAACTCCACAGAATGGTATAAATCCTACAGGCATGTGTTTTCTGTGGAGATAAAACATCAGCGTTGCAGCAGAGTTAGTGGTAGAGTCGTGTTGCTGCCAGTCAATCAGAGGCAAGCTTTCAGATTACCAGGAAATAAGTCTCCAAATCCTGCAGTCTGCTGCTCACCTCTGCTCTGGCTCCCATTGGTAAAGTCATATGGGGTGCCATTTGTAAAGTCAAACAGTCATAATCTAACAGCAATATTTTTGTTATTTAGCATATCATAAGAGAAAAAATTGGGAGTTCACTTTTTCGAAGTCATATTTTCACCATGTTATTCATACATTTATAAATGTTAAAGTTTCCAAATAAATATTTAGTTAGCAAGCTAAATATTTAATTTGTAGTTAAATATTTATTTTGCAAACTAAATATTTAGGTCTGATCTAAATATTTAGTTTGTAAAATAAATATTTAATTCACTAACTAAATATGTAATTTACTAATTAAATATTTATTTTGGAACTAAATATTAAATTTTTAAATTACATTATTATTTTCCAAATTGTTTTTAGATCCCAGCTAAATATTTCTTTTGGAGCTAAACATTTAGTTTGCAAAATCAGTATTTGAGAAATAAATATTTAAGTCTGACCCAAAAATATAAAATATAGTGTGGAGCTAAATAACATCGTGGAAAAAAATATTTAGCTGGTACTTAAATATTAAGCTAATATGCAAATTCGCTTGCCAATAAGCGGAAGTTGGTTGCCAAAATAAATGCTGGATCTCGCTAACCTCTTTACAAACTCTTGCTCCGAACCAGAACTTGTTTTATCTCCGGTTCTATTCTTCTTCAGCCAACACGTTGGACATGTTCAGAAGAAAAGAACCGGAGATAAAACAAGTTCTGGTTCGGAGCAAGAGTTTGTAAAGAGGTTAGCGAGATCCAGCATTTATTTTGGTAACCAACTTCCGCTTATTGGCAAGCACATTTGCATATTAGCTAAATGTTTAAGAACCAGCTAAATATTTATTTTCCACGATGTTATTTAGCTCCACACTATATTTTATATTTTTGGGTCAGACTTAAATATTTATTTCTCAAATACTGATTTTGCAAGCTAAATGTTTAGCTCCAAAATAAATATTTAGCTGGGATCTAAAGATTTTTTTTGGGAAAATAAATATTTAATTTACAAATTAAATATTTGGTTCCAAAATAAATATTTAATTAGTAAATTAAATATTTAGTTACTGAATTAAATATTTATTTTACAAACTAAATATTTAGATCAGACCTAAATATTTAGTTTGCAAAATAAATATTTAACTACAAATTAAATATTTAGCTTGCTAACTAAATATTTATTTGGAAACGTTAACATTTATAAATATATGAATAACATGGTGAAAATATTACTTCAAAAAAGTGAACTACCAATTTTTTCTCTTATGATATGCTAAATAACCAAAAATATTGCTGTTAGATTATGACTGCTTGACTTTACAAATGGCACCCCATAAGAAACCACTGCAAATTTAGTCTATTTAAAAAAAACAGTGAACCTGGGGTCTCATTTATAAAACATTGCGTAGAAATCCTTACTAAAACCATACTTAAGCTCAGCAAAAAAAAAAAAAAAAAAAAAATTACTTCAGCCAAGTAGGTTTGTGATCTATAAAACATGGAGTACGCACAGCTTCACGCAATCTCCACTTCATAAATCACAAACTACCTAGAAATGTGCTCAGGTGTTTTTGGATCACACCCCGCCCTCAACACGCCCACTTTCTGCCATAATGGTCATTGCAAAGTGCCTTGTGGATCTCATGCATGCACATAAGCCGGCTCGTTGCAGCATTTCACCAGTAACGATGGTGACCACAGATCAAGGAAGCGCAATTTCACCGAAGCAGAAATTGAGGTACTTGTGGGTGAGGTGGAAAAATGAAAGGAAGTGCTTTTGCAAAACAAATAAGAGAAAATCCACAGAGTGGCACAGCGCTGTTAAAGCTGCCAATGCTGTGAGTTCTTCAGAGAGATCTGTGGCGGATATTAAAAAAGTGGTCCGATCTGAAGGTGGAGGCTAAAAAAAAAGATTGCCACCGTCACCTCTGATCCCCCACCGCTCACCATTAGGATCTCAGCAGTACTCGGACCTGCCGGAGAAGGAGGGAGACACTGACGATGCAGAGGAGACTGGCTTGTTCTGTGTGCGCACGAAGCGGTACAAGTGATAATGCTGCTGGAATTCATAATTATATCCTTCTCAGCAGTAGCAATGCAGGTGTTCTCCATGTCAAAAATAAGCCAAGTCCTTAGTCAATTTAAAGTTGTGCACATTTTCCCGCTACGTTTTCTTTTATAAATCCCAAAGTTTGCGTGGAAAGTTGCTTACGCAGTTTTCCGACCCTGTTTTGTGCGTAAGCAAGCTTTATAAATGAGGCCCCTGATCTTTAAGATGCTTAGCAAAATGGAGAAGTTATTGGGAAAAATATTGAATCATTAGTTGCATTTGCACTATAGGGAGCCAAGTCACTTACGCGTCATGGGTCCCCGGAAGAATGAAAAAAATGAATGCAAGCCAATGGGGCTAAAAACGCTGTTTTCTAATTCCGATTGTTTTGTGCCACATATGACGATGAACTTTTACAAGCTGAAAAATATCAAAGTACGTGACTGGCGTGGTCGAAACACCCATCATTACTTTTCATTTAAATTGCAGTACAACATATGTGCGATCCAGGGTCTAAGGCAAAGCGGATTAGAAAATAGCGTTTTTAGCCCCGTTGGCTTGCATTCCTTTTTTCATTCTTCCGGGGACCCGTGATGCGTAAGTGACTTAGGCTCCCATTATGAGTTCCAGGACATTTCTGGGAGGTTGGAAGGTGACAGGGAAAACATGATGGCTCGATATTCCAAGCCGTTGTATTTTGATACAAAATTGGCTCTTTCAGGACTGATCAGCGCCAACAGGCATCCGCAGACATTGATATTGTGAATTAGTACTCTGTGATTCCATATGTTCGGAAAACTGGGAGAATGTCTTTGTTATGTAAAACGCGGCATGCAAGGACCAGTGCCTTTTCATGGTGCCATGAATCAGTGTTGTGGGAAAATTTCAGCCTCTATTTTTAGCATTGGGAGTTTAGAAATGACAGTTTTAAAACAGCATGAACACTGCTTTTTTATTTTCCTTCCATGCTGCATGGCGACGTGTGCCGATATCATTTTCCACCAAATCAGCCCACCCAGCTCTATCAGGCCTTTTCCAACTTCATACCCTGGTTCAGGTACTTTGCTGGTTCCTGAAATAGCCTGGAAATGGTCCTTTGGGGTGGCCCCGGTGAAAAGGAGACATGAGTCACGAATGTCTGGTAAAATTCCCAAAGGCTCCGATAATGGAAATGGACCTATACATGTTCCCTTCGCTAAAAAAGTCAAATAAAAATCATGTTAAACAAATTTATTTCAGCTGTAATCTCTGTTATTTTTTTCCAACTTCATCCTGAAATGGCCTGGAAAGTGGTCCTTTTAGGTTGGCCCAGTGAAGATGTGCATTCCACGAACGTCTGAAAAAAAAAATCACCCAGAGGTTCCCATGGTGGAAATGGACCTAAAGACTCTGCTGATAACAGATGAGAAACAAAAATCCTGCTACACAAGTTTATTTCAGATGTGATCTGTTTCTTTATCACAATAACTGAAACTTTTCATTTAATTAGAAAATAAACGTGCATTTTCTGTTCCACCTGTTGAAAATCCCCTGGTGTGAGAAGAGCATTTCCACTTTCCTTTAAAAGAAGTCCTGGAAACACTGAGAGCAGAGCTGAATGACTGTTGCTTCGATGAAATTTCCTAACATTTATAAAATAACAACGGGCTGTTATGGGATATAAATGAAGGTGCTAAGTGAGTGCTGAGACTTATCAAGGTCCTGCATGTCGTCCTTCAGGTCTGCCTGCAGCGGGGCTCCTGAGGAGAAGGAACGCTGGGAATCGGCTGCTCAGAGAACGGCCTTGGTACCAGTATGGCTTCCATATCAACGCCACTCAGAAGCGGGCAGTTACCCTGTTATCTGTCTGCAAGCAGAGCTCCAGCATTTCGTCTACAGTGCACGCAATGTTTTTCATTCTCCAAATTACTTTCAGTACTGAAGGGAAAGTCCACCGACTCACTTTTTGATCCATTTCTCAAAATGTACTTACGTGGTTTTAGAATCACGAATTTGATCATC